GCTAGTCAAACGGGTAAGTGATTTGATCTATGAATTGGTACTCGATTAGGCGTTGGGGGGAGTGGTGATGGACTAACTAAGCTCTAGCTCAACCTTCTCCATTTTACTGAAGTCCATGCCAAACAGAGTGAGTGGAAGAGTAAAAGAGAGGAGGTTGTTGAGTGGGGGAAAAAGGGGGTGGAGAAGAAGAGAACTCAACATCCGTTTACCGAGTTTGGCCACCGAACTCGGCATGCCGAGTTGGTGGCATGATGTTCGCCTAGGACACGCCATCAGTTATCTAGCTCCATCGAAACCTCTCTCCTCAGCCTTATTGTAACTCCGAACTTCCAGGTATATTGTTTATTTATTTATTTTGAGGACTGTTGAGTTACTCGACGAGTTGGCGCTACAACTCGTCGAGTAGAGTCGCGTTGTGCCATGTGAGATTAATGATCTACTCGACAAGTCCAAGAGCTGACTCGCCGAGTAGACGTTGTGAAGAGAAACCCTAAATCCCCAGGTTTAGGGTCTATATAAGGGCACTTATAGCCTCACTTGCGGCTCATCAGCTGCTTGCCTTCACTGATAGAAACCCCAATCGCCCTTTAAGCTAATTGAGAGTATGTGTGTGTGAGCTATTAAGTATTTTGGTGCATCTTTGGAAGAGAAGGGAAGGATTTCTAGCAAGGAACAAGAGGATGTTATTAGATATGTTGTTATTCATCCAAGAGCTCATGTGAAAGTCATAAAGTTTATACCTTTCTCATTAGTTTGGGTAGATCTCATATTATTTGGAGTTTAGGGCTTCTTTTCTATCTAATATTAGGACTTTAAGTGTTTTAGATACATATAGATATTTGGACATCAAATCTGGACCTTGTGAGGTACCTAGAGTCCAAAAGTCCCAACTTTATTCAACCATAATAAAGCCTTGAGTGAAAAAAATACCTTAATAAAACATGTTTTTTGGCATTTCAAGCGCTAAGTGTCATGCATGAACGTAAAGCTTGTGTCTTTACATGGCAAGCAAGCCTAGAAAGCTTAGATCTAGAGTGTGAGGGGGTTTACTGCCTTGAAATCATCTATTTAAGACTTGGGTCTAAATGGACTCGCCGAGTCGACGAGCCAGTTAGGGTTTGTCCCGATGAGCTGGCCATGTTATAGCTCGACAACTTAAGGGTTAACTCAACGAGTTGGACTTTCACGAGACTTCTGAGGAGCGAATAGACTCGACGAGTCACGAGAGTGCACTCGGCGAGTCAGGACAAACCTGGACTATTGACTCGAGTTTGACTTCCGATGACTTTAGGGTTTGGTCAGCATGAGTAAAGGATATAATGGAGGGGTAAAATGGTCTTTTACCCATTCTAAGAGTTAAAGAGACAGAGAGAACAACAGTGGTGTATTTGAGTATGAGTAGAGTATTAATTAGAGATAATTATCCTGTGTGTTAGGCGGAGGATAGTTCGAGATTTCCGAGTACGATACTTTTACTTGCCAACTTACGAGGTGAGTCTTCTCACTATACTTACCATGAGTGGTATCCAGTGGCGAGTCTAGAAAGTAAAATCACGTGGTTCACTAAGTGGGTTCGGTAGACAACGATTATATATATATATATATATATATATATATATATATATATATATATATATATATATATATATATAATATTAGTTGCGGATCCGGCTCGGATCATATGTCTATCCTGTATGACGCGGGAGAAGAAACGAAGTGGTGAAAACACCTCTTTGTTTTGCCTTTTTTTTTTATGTTTAACTTATTTTGAACTATTTTTTATTGGATTATATCTTAAATGAATTGAATATTTGTCCATGAAATATAAAATGTGGCCTTTAATATTATTGATTTATACCTTTTGTTTTCAAAAACATAAAACTTATTTAAGATAGTTCACTTTATATATTTAAGATAGGTCACAATCTATATTCATCAATGAACTCTTATTAGAAAAAAGAAAATTAGGTGGGTCAAGTGACCCACCTTCAATATATGTAGACTCGCCCATAGGTATCCTTGTGTGACTGAGATGCCTTATGTGCTTATCTGTGTATGGTGATGCTTTGCATTTCGTCTTTGTAGTTTATGTTTATTGTTATGAACTCATTGAGTTAGGGACGGAGTGTCCACCCGAGTTGTGAGACCGGAGAGTCTCCATTGGAACACATTGACCATAGGGTCGTATTGAGTTAGCCTCAAGTGGCTAATGTGATGTGTGTGGTATTTTGGGAAACTCACTATGCTTTGTGCTTAGCGTGTTATGTGTTATGTGTTTCAGGTACTTCTAAGGATCACGTGAAGGCGTCAGGCTGATTGTACACACATCAGCGATTGAGTTATGATTTTGAGGATCCTGAAGTTTTGAAATATGAATAGTTTTTTTGATATGAGACTTGATGACTTGACATTATGACATTTTGTGATTTATTTATGGAGACAAATGTGTTTTTAAATTAAAAATTTTAGTTTGAAAATTTACGTCATTACATTTACAAGAAAAGAAATCATTCTCCTAGTACATGAAGGACAAATAACATGGATATAGACCCATACAGCAAGAAAATTTATGATCAAACCTTAATAATGAAAAATAACAACCTCTTCCTTTCTAAAAAATTAAGGTATATGGTATTTAAAGATGAGCCAAATTAAAACACATCGCCTAAAGCATTTTTTTAAATACACCTTGTATAAAATGACATAAGACCAAAAATAGATACTTAATTGACAAAATTACAAAAATGGTCCCTATAGTTTGTCAAAAGTTACAAAGTCAGTCCCTGCTAAAAAATTTTAACGAATATGGTCCCTGTGGTTTCCAAAACTTGCATTAATGGCCCTTTTTACTGACGCCGTTACTGCTCATCTATTAGTGTAAGGGTATTTTGGTTTTTTCAAGTAGCGGGGACTCGATTTGTGATTATGGGTAAACCATAGGAACCATTTATGTATTTTTTTTCTATATTTTATGTTTATGAGTTTGTGACTTTTCCGCCCATTTACTTTTTAAAATATCACTTTGAACCCTTCACCTTGAACTTTGAAAAATGTTACTTTCACCCCTCTATTTTCTAAATTTTCGTGTTTAACCTCGTATTATATATAATTTGTTTTTTATTAATAACTTTTGTTCGCTAACCTAAAAAAACTATTTTTACGTGTTTATTTTCATATATTTGTCGGTATAATTCAAGGTGATCAACGTTTCGACTATAATTTAGAACTTTCTTTCGTTATTTTTTTTAAAGTTACATGTTTTTTTTTATAAAATTGTCGGTTTAAATTCGAGCTTATTTTTCGACATAGTTTTTTTTTTTTTTTTTAAACTTTATGTACATTTCCTACGTATGAGACGGGTCATATATAATAACTTTCGTTTGTTAATTTCAAAAAATATATTATATTCGAGATTGTCTATGTTTTGATATATTTTGTATACATTTTGTGCTTAATTTTATATACATTCCTACGTATCATTTGAGTTATATATAATAACTTTCGTTTGTTAGTTTAAAAAAATGTAGTATATTCGAGTTTGTCTATGTTTCGACCAAACTTTTGTTTCATGTTTTTTACGTATCAATATAGATTCGAGTTCGTCTATATTTCGACGTAATTTTTTTTATGTTTCGTGCTTATTTTTATGTACGTGTCTTTTTCATTCATGTTTTTTTACGCCGAAATGCAATATTTATGACTATAATCACCAAAATTCAACTTACAAAATTCAAGCTTATAATTACGCTTTTATCTATTACATGTGAACAAACTTATACGTAGAAACATACATAAAATAAGCACCAAAACGCTTTGCGTAACATATTTTTTTAACGTTTCCGTGCTTTATTTTATGTACATTTCCTACTTATGATTAGGGTCACATATTATATATTTTTTATTATTTAAACTTTCGTTCGTTAACTTAAAAAAATCTTACTTATTTTTATGCACGTGCTGATATAAATTTGAGTTTTTCTTTTTCTTTATTTTTTATGTTTTGCAAAATCTATAAAAAATACATCAAAACATAAACAATCTCGAATTTAATATATTTTTTAAAATTAACAAACGAAAGTTATTATATATGACCCGTCTCATACGTAGGAAACGTACATAAAGTTTAAAAAAAAACTACGTCGAAAAATAAGCTCGAATTTAAACCGACAATTTTATTAAAAAAAACATTGCAACTTTAAAAAAAAATAACGAAAGAAAGTTCTAAATTATAATCGAAACTTTGATCACCTTGAATTATACCGACAAATATATGAAAATAAACACGTAAAAATATTTTTTTTAGGTTAGCGAACAAAAGCTATTAATAAAAAACAAATTATATATAATACGGGGTTAAACACGAAAATTTAGAAAATAGAGGGGTGAAAGTAACATTTTTCAAAGTTCAAAGTGAAGGGTTCAAAGTGATATTTTAAAAAGTAAATGGGTGGAAAAGTCACAAACTCATAAACATAAAATATAGAAAAAAATACATAAATGGTCCCTATGGTTTACCCATAGTCACAAACTCAGTCCCTGCTACTTGAAAAGACCAAAATACCCTTACACTAACGGATGAACAGTAACGGCATCAGCAAAAAGGGCCATTGATGCAAGTTTTGGAAACCACAGGGACCATGTTCGTCAAAAACAATTAGCAGGGACTGTCTTTGTGACTTTTGGTAAACCATAGGGATTATTTTTGTAATTTTGTCTACTTATTTTGTACATTGGTCTTTTTTCTTTATTTGAATAATGTTATATTATCCTCTCTTTCGTTCTAAGATTCTCTTATTCTAAAATAATGTTTACTTTCTCGTCCATTCGTTCTAACCCCAACTTCAACGGCCATAAACTACCGCCGGCCAAACAACAAAATCAACCAAACAAAACTAATATCCCAAGCAGATAAAACTCAATTAATGCCATTCCACCACCCAAAGTTTCACACACACCACTGTGTGCTCCAGATTTTGTTGTAAGGTGTGAAGTTGGTTTTCATGGCGGAAACCAATAGATATGAAGGCACCGTTAAGTGGTTCAGTGGACAAAAAGGTTTTGGATTTATTGCTCCGGCCGATGACAGTGGTGAAGATCTCTTTGTCCACCAGTCTGAGATAAAGATGGAAGGATTTCGGTTTCTTAGAGATGGACAAAGGGTAGAATTTTCTGTGGATTCCGGTGGAGATGGGAGGAAGAAGGCGGTGGACGTGATGGGTCTTGCTAGGACTAGACCCTATTCACCAGGGTTGAGGCGTGGGGGTCGTGGGAGAAGGGGTGGTTATGGAGGTAACAGAGGAGGATTTGGTAGTGGAGGAGATAGTGTGAGAGGTGGTGGGAGGTTTGGACGCGGCAGCAGTGGTGGTGATGATGAAGGAAGAGATGGTGGTCCGGAGTGTTATAATTGTGGACGTGTTGGTCATTTTGCAAGGAACTGTTACCAGGGAGGCGATCGTGGCAATGGTAATGAAGACTATGATAATGATCAAGGTGGTGCTGGTGGTGGCCGTGGCCGTGGCCATGGCGGTGGCGGTGGCGGTGGCGGTGGCGGTCGTGGTGGCCGGAGCAAAGCATGTTACCATTGTGGAGAAGAAGGACATTTTGCAAGAGAATGCCCGAATGACCAAGATTGATAACATTGATTAACTGTATATTTTTTTCTTTACACTACTTTTGCTATTTTTCTTGTGTTGGTGTATTTTTATTTTTTATACAACAAACAAATTCTCTTAGACTGTTGGGTGTTGGCAACGAGATTATGAAGCGAAATATTGTCACCTCACGTTTTAATATGTTATAACATGAAGTGGGGATAATATTTACATGGTATAACATTGTGTTAACTCTTAAGAGGAGAGAGAAAAGGAAAAGAGAGAGAGAGAAAGAGAGAGAGAAATGATTTGATGAATGTTGCCTCTCGTGCTCATTACCAAATTTCATAAAGTCATATCTCATAACTAGAAGTGTTCCACTCCTTACCACGGCATTAAGGTGTCTCCATGTAGGTAAAAACTAAAAACGCATATCCACGGACCCATACCGAATAGTCTTAAACAAAATAAATTGTAAAGAAATAACTCGTGTGGTCAATATCGATCGATCTGTATAAACGAATCGATTGAATTATAGTTTATTGTAATCGATCAAATTATTGTAAATTAAAAATATTTAATTGATAATGAAATGATTTGATTAAGAGAAAAGTCATAAAGAGTATATTTACATGCATCCAAAATTGTTTTTTTCAGAATAATTATATTATAATTATAATAATACAATCTTTTTTCTCACCATTTATTAGAAAAATGTATAAACTATTAAATACGAAGACTAAATTTTTCTATACTTTTTACTTTTTAATTTATGCTGCAGATATTTTTTGGTGTTCATTAAAAATTTTCAAACTTAATATTAGTTTTTATAAGGTTGATATTATAAAAGATTTTATATATTGATTAAGTTTTTTTAAGTTAAAGCTTAACTTTATTCTTTTCTATTTATAAAAAAATAAAAAAACTTTTATTATTTCTGTTTTCAATAGATCTTGAACTTTTAACTTTTTAAGAAAAAAACCTTCCCATTTGATTAAAAAAAAAATACTAATTAAAATAACTAGTTTGAAAACGTAAGGTCTTTTTCAATAATAATAATAATAATAATAATAATAATAATAAGTTGATGTTTAATTAAAAAAACACACACACACAATATATAAACGCTACAAGAATACCAAGCTAAGGCGGCGACAACTATCCCGACAACAAAAGTTGTCGCTACAGGTCATCCTATGCCGACAACATGTTGTCGCCATATCTTTTGAAAGTTTTGTATATAATATTAACTCAATTTTAAAATGCAATGAGATTATAAATTAATGAAGAAAAAAGATTGATGGTAACCAAAATATTTAGAATACCACGTCTATATAATACATCTATGTAGTTTTTTTACTTATGTTTTGAGATTAATTCATGCTAACTTATATTTTGAACAATTAAATGATTAATCCATCTTTCCATTGGGACCTTAATACCATATTTTTGAACTTCTATTTCTTCTTAGTATTAGCAACTCATTCATTCATTTTTCTATCTTTGCTACGAGAGGCTCTAAATGTGCACTGAATATCCAAACTCTTTTGTGATTTTTTTTTTTTTTTTGTTCTTAAACATCCTAAAAAAAATTTAAAATATAATTAAACATCTTAGGTGGACATGATCTATCACAAAAGAAGTTTGGATGATCTAAACCGACAACAGAGAATAAATTAGTTTGGGAACAATAACATTCTTCATCTTCATAATGATATAAACATGTAAATTTAAAAACAATGACATTCTTCATCTTCGCAATGATACAAACATATACTGGCAATACTTACAAATCTTTTCCCTTTCAAGGTAATCTTGGATCGAACAATATCACTCAAACTTACACTTCTCACTTAGAAAGAGATCTGAAATTGATAAACAAATTAGATAGAAGTAGCATTTTATAAGTTCAAATCTAACGAGGATATTAACTTTCGCGAGTATCATTCATTAGTGATTGGTGTGTAGTTGGTTGTTAGTAAAATAACGATGTTCAAAACTTCATGTAAATTAGTCAGGTAATAACAATTTCAAAAGCCAGTTTTTTCCGGAAAAAATGAGTAATTTAACCCTTATAAATGACATCTTTGACAGAAATGACTAAAGTTTTTTTCTTTTTGTAAAATAACCATATTCTCCGGAACACATGGTTCCGGAGAAGTCTCCAAAATTTTGGAGTACAATTCCGGAACACCTGTTTTTTTAAGGGTTAGATTACTCAATTTACCTTTATATAACGTATACTCATTTCGGATAGGCTTCCCAAACACTAGAGTATGATTCCGGAACGTCATGTTTAATTTTTATTTGTGTAAATGTGTGTGTGTGTGTGTTTGTAGAGGTTTTGTTTATATATATTAAATAAAATGCAATTGATAATCTTAAAATCAACAAAACCAAATAAAATACAATGTTCATATCATCTTATTCATTAACTCCAAATATTTTTGTCAGTCGTTTACGATATGACATAGCCAAATACTGCTTGGACCGTCTATAGAATACGACTTTCCGATGATCAACGCTTCTAAGAACCAACACAAAAACACCCCACAATGTCCTCTACTGTTAATTTGTTGTGGTACTTGTGGCGCCTTTTTGAGGGTCATGTTCTCTCAAGTAAGATTGAATCATTTGGTTTGGTACCCTAGCAGTTGATACCTACTAACCGTTTGTGGATGTGTGATCGCATACTGATAAACCAATCATCGGTTTCTGAAAAGTGGTCACTCTTCCAATGATCATCGAATATTGTCATTCGGAAAGTCTTCAATTTCAAAGGACCCAAAAACCAGTGAGCAATTTGTATATTGATTGAGATGTAAAGCTAAAAAAAGGTTAGAAATAATTAAACATCAAATAACATTTTATTACATACATACTTAGGTAATGTAATTGAAACACAATTATATCGTATCACAGTCTGCCCAAGCTGGGTATTGTATGTTCTAAGAGAATGTCCAAAGGCGATGGATGTTGTCGTACAACATCTTTTCTTTTTCATTTGTATCCATTGTGACTTATACCACATGGACATTACTTTTTGGCGCATAGAACGTCGAAGTGTTAGCGAGGGCATTTTGCAGTGATCCAGTGGAATCTATTTTACATCCGATGAATGGATAAATATGTAACACCCCAAAAATCATGATATAAATTTTTTTGTTTTTAGATTAAAAGATCATTAATACATGTTTTTCCCACAAAACTAGAGTAATTAAGTTTTAACAATACATTGACCGATCAGAGTAATTCATAGAAAATGGAAACTTGTGGTGTGAGCCCTTCAATCATCCAAAGCCCTTCCATTTGAAAACCAGAGTACCTGAAACAATAAACTAAAAATCATAAGCATAAATCTTAGCGAGTTCCCCAAAATACCACAGAATATCATGCAACATACATATAGTTGCCATGGGCTCCCCCGTGGTCTTTACCAGTAATGCCATGGGTTCCCTCCCCCGATCTTATATCCAAATGTCATCAGCAACCCCATGGTCTTATATCCCATGGTCTTATATCCAAATGTCATGGGCTTCCCAATGGTATTTCATGCAAGTATCACAGAGATAACTAGCATTCCACATAACAAGTATTGGGTCAATATTGGTGCCTTCGACCCAAGATATTGTGAGAAGACTCACCTAACACTGCCGAATTACACAGACAAACCACGATTGTTGGCTGACAGATTCCTGAACTGTCAATCATCAAAGCAACACCCAATTAACAATTGGGTGCCAAAGCATAACCATAAACCCATACTTGGGGTAAAAGACTATTTTACCCTTAACATAGATTGGTCCAAGACCAAGACCCATACTCAAACTCTGGAGGCCCAAAAGCCAAATAATCAACTAAGGCTCAAATATGGCCTAATTTTCCAAATTCGGCCTAAACCCGTTACATGGGCCTTACCATAAAGCCCATCCAAATATCCCAGTCCATACACTTTTTCTCAGATGACCCAACAAAAATCCAAACACCTAATCTCAAAAGAAAGTCCCAACTTGATTAGGGTCTTTACATAAATCGATGATTAAGGTTAAGTAAAAACACTTAACCTATTAAGGACTTAATCCATTAAGTCTATCGCTCTAATGTGTCAATCATACAATATGGTCGAGCGTAATTCATAATTTCGATCCGACGGTCCAAAATGCGGGTCCCAGCAAATCCCAAACTGAAGTCTCCAAAATAGGGTTTTCTAAACCCTAATTAGGGTTTCCAAACTAAGAAGATGTCACAAGGTCCAAAGTTAAGTTTTTAGGTTAATTAGGGTTTCACTAGGCGGGGCACCACCCACTGCCATCCCGAGCGATGGTGGTCGATGGTGGCTCACGGCGGCAACCACCACCTTACGTTGGTGGTAGTGGGGGGAAGGTTCCTTGGTTTCCCGGACAAAAATGTACATACAACTTCACACCATAAAATACACGCCTAAATGCACCATAAATCACACACAACCACCTTCCACGGTGGCTGGTGGCGGCAGGAGATGACAGCAAGTTGCGACCACTATGGTTGGCTGCCATGGTGGTCCGACACGCTATCCGGCCAAACAAACAATCAGTAACACACAATCACTAACACGAGAGGTACCCAGAAAAACACGCCCAACTCAGCCACTTCGAGTGGCAGCCACTTCAGGGCGTAGCATTGACAAAACGGAGAAGAGGGTTGTGATTCCGAATGACAGTAGCGACATAATGGACGTCCGCTCGCGGTTCTATCTATTGTCAGCAATGAGAAATGATGGTGTTGGATGACGACTCACAACGACGACAAAGGCGTCGGCTGAGGACGATAATCACTCGAAAGCTTTGATTGATCGGAAGAACGAGAGAGGCAGGTGGCGGCGGCTGGAAAGTCACGCATGGCGGCTGACTAATGCATAGGGTTAGGGTTTCAGTGTATGCAAGGAGGAAAAAAATGAAAGAAAGTGATGGATCTTAAACTCCCGTCTCTAATTTAAAACTTCACTCCACATAACACATTCAACCCCTCCTTCTCTAAACATTATAATTCAAATCCATATTTTA